AACCAAGTCTGTGTGGCCCTCCTCTCTCTGCCATCTTAAAGGGATGAAGACTGCCTCTGATTGGGCAACGGCACAGGGCCTGCCTTCAGTGCCCCCAGTACGAACAGGCAGGGCTAAGAGGCCACATTGGCCCACTCAGGGCAAATGGCTTTAAAAATGAGGGGCCTTCCTTGGGCCCACAGTTACGCCTGTCCTCAAGTAAGGGGAGACTGTCTCAGGGAAGCCTCCCTTTAAGATTGTCTCCTCTCACCCACCCCACCCCATCCCCACTCCCCCTCACTCCAGGTTTTGGTCACAGTGTTGGGATCCTTTCCTGGCCCTTTCCCCTGTCATGTGCATGCGCTGTGAGGAAGCTCCAGGGTTACAAGTGCATCTGGGATGGTATCTTGTCTGTCTCCTGGGCTTCCTGAACTTCAGAGCTGTGTGACCTCTTCCCCTTGGCCTATGGGATGGCAGGACTTTGGAGACACTACAGGGACCCTGGGGCCCCAAGGTTTCAGTCTAGATCCTCCAGACCTTAGGAGCTTTTGTCTCACAAATGGAGCACAGCACCCCCTCCTGGCAGCTCCTGCAGGACTAGCCCCACCCACCCGCACCCCTGCCCCAACACCCCTGCCACCAGCAGCATCTGGATAAATCAAGCCTCTTCTCCTCTGGGCTGTTTTCTCCAGATATGGCCTGTCCCTTCCAAAGTGCCGGGAGCTGGGACATTCCAGGGCAAGGGCCGTTCTACCCCAAGCCCTAGCAAAACAACAGATCTCTGCACCCTTACTCAGGGGTCTCCCTTCATGGGCCCCTTCCTGGCTGTTTCACCCCTGGCCTTAGGCTCATCCTTTCTGGAGGCCTCGGGTTGCCAAATACCAAGCTGAAGACCAAGGGCCAGGTTAAGAGTGCTTGTTCCCCAGGGCTGTCTGCTCAGGCCCTGCCCTGGAACTGGGATGCCTGGCAGGCACATTGGTGCCACAGCTGATGGAGGAACGTCCAGACAGGGTCTTCAGGCTTTCCCCATCCCCTCCTCCTCTCACCCAGCGCTTGACTGCCTGGCTGGCTGCTGCCTCAAGGGGCCCCAGCAGGGGGCTGCCCCACAGGGCATCTGGAGAGAGCGGGGCGGGTGCCTTCCTCGCACAGCCGGGCTCCCTGCTCGCAGTGCGCTTGTGTGCACCCCTGTGTTGGTTGTGTCTTCCTGTTTATTTCTATGTGCTGCTGCTCTTTCTCCTTCCTCTCACATCCTCCCTCTGCAATCCCCAATTTCCTAGCTCCAGACACCCATCTTCCAGCCAGGAGCTGGAGAAGCCGCTCAGCGGGGCCAGACCTCTTCCCCACCCACCCACCCAAGGTGTCTGCCCCGCCCCGCCCTCGTCCTCCCTGTGTATGAGCAGATGGCCTGGCAGGCCAGCAGGTAGGGGAGTTGGGAAAGGTCGGAGGAGGCGACCTTTTCCACTCAGCAGCAGGCACCCATCCCCAGGTGCCTACCATGCAGACCCAGGCCTTGGCACTTTGAGCCTTCTGACAGAGACCCTTGTGTAGCCACAGCCCCTCCTCCTACAGAGACCCAAAGCATTGCAGCCCCTTTCCTCCAAAAGGACTGCAGTCCTGAGACCCTAGCGTGTGGCTCCAAAAACTTACTCACACCCGCAACCCCGAGAACAGCGCGTGAGCCCTGGCTGTGGGGGAGCAGCCTCGTGCCGGGCTGTGTGCTCGGTGTGCTCAGTGAAGTGCGTGCACAGCCACTCCCCCTCCTCCCCCAGAGCGGAGGCTCCTTCTCCCCGGCACAGATCTGGGAGTGTGGGGAGGGACAGGCCCTATGTGCTGGGCTCCCTGCTGGAAAGGAATGGTTGAGCCGCCAGTGTGAGGTGCTGCAGAGCCCTGTTGGCTTGCCAGGTGATGGGCAGAGGGCCCTGGGCTTGGGTCCTGCCCACCCACTGGTGGCACCTCCCCAGACCCACTCTCATCTGGGTCTGTGGCGGCGGAAGGAGCGAGAGATCCCAGCACTAAACTCTCCCTCGCTCTGTTTTTTGAGGAACCTGAATGAACCTGAAAGCAAAGACCGAGTGGAGACGCTCAGGTGAGAGGGCTGGAGCCAGCACTGGCCCTGCCCGGGCCACCGGGCTTGCCACAAGCCTCCTGCTCCTCTCTTCCTTCTGCCACTTGGCTCTTCCTCCCGTGGTTCTGCCCTGTCCCTACCCTCTGGGGCCTCCCTTTCCTCAGAGAGTTTCCCCTTCCCAAACCCAATTGCAGGAGTTAATGGGCCCTTCTCTTCAGGTCTGGTATATTCTGGAAGTCGGAGTTCTGGGTCGGGTGGTCGGGGCTACAGATTCCTACCCCTGGCCTATCCCACCTCCCTGTGCTCCGAGGCTTCTTTCTGGAGATAGAGTCTGTGCTGGTGCTATTGAGGGCACCGGTGTCTTCCCTGACCCCACCCCGCCTACCCCAAGGCTGGCTTCTCCCCTTCACTGTCCTGACACATAGGGGTTGGAGGACTGCCTCCCTCCGCCCCCGCGGCCAGGGGCCGTGCCTGGCTGCTCCTGCTCCCTCCCGCTCTCCTCTCTGGGCTCGAGGGCTGTCTGCCAGGGTGGCCCTCCTGGGGTGGGGTGCCTCAGCCCCCCGTGACGCCCGCCTCTGCCCTCTCCACAGACCTCACGTGGTGGGCAGTGGCGTCAACGACAAAGAAAAGGAAGAATTTCGGGAGGCCAAACCCCGCTCCCTCCGCTTCACGTGGAGTATGAAGACCACGAGCTCCATGGAGCCCAACGAGATGATGCGGGAGATCCGCAAGGTGCTGGACGCGAACAGCTGCCAGAGCGAGCTGCATGAGAAATACATGCTGCTGTGCATGCACGGCACGCCGGGCCACGAGGACTTCGTGCAGTGGGAGATGGAGGTGTGCAAACTGCCGCGGCTCTCTCTCAATGGGGTTCGATTTAAGCGGATATCGGGCACCTCCATGGCCTTCAAAAACATTGCCTCCAAAATAGCCAACGAGCTGAAGCTTTAACAGGCTGCCAGGAGCGGGGGCGGCGGGGGCGGGCCAGCTGGACGGGCTGCCGGGCCGCCGCGCCGCCCCACCTGGGCGAGACTGCAGCGATGGATTGGTGTGTCTCCCCTGCTGGCACTTCTCCCCTCCCTGGCCCTTCTCAGTTTTCACTTACATGTTTGTGGGGGGTGGGAGATTGTTCTCCAGCCCCCCACATTCACCCCTGCCCAGAGATTCCCCCTTCCCCTCTCCCCAACTGGAGGCAAAGGAAGGGGAGGGTGGATGGGGGGGCAGGGCTCCCCCTCGGTACTGCGGTTGCACAGAGTATTTCGCCTAAACCAAGAAATTTTTTATTACCAAAAAGAAAAAAAGAAAAAAAAAAATCCCAGCGGCCACCTTTCCTCCCTGCCCCATTGGGACAGTCGAGACTGGATCTGTGGGGTTTCCCGGGAGGGTGGCTCAGGGCTGGAACACTCTCAGGCAAGAGTGGTGGAGCTCCCGTCAGGCCCTCCGCCAGGCCCACTGTGGGCTTCTTCCCGCTCCTCCCTCCTTCCCCTCCAAGCAAACCACCAGAGGTGGCCTTCCCCTGACCTCAGGCCCCTGGGCTGGAGGCCTGGGTGGCGGGGCAGGGGGCGGGGGTGCTGTGCAGCCCTGCAGTGGGTGGGACTGGGGGCTGCCCCGGGGCTGCCGAGGCTGGAGGGCCGGCACAAGGCTCCGCCTCCCTCCACACTGTACCCTCTGCCCCTCCTTCCCAGAGCTGGGCATTTCCTTCCACAAGCTGCTGTGGGGACGTGTGTTCCCTCCTCAAAGTCTGTGCCATCTTCTCCCACCCCTCCCGGATAGAAGGAGGGGCTGACCCCAGGGCTGGGAGAGGGGAGGGGACTGCAGGGCAAATTGGCTCCTCGGTCCCCGGGGGGGCCGCTTGGGCTGTTGGTCTCCAGAGCAGGGCCACTGGGCACTCTGTGATGGGGGAGCCTTTGTCTGAAAGCACAGCCCCCTCGCCCTTCCTCTCCCCATGGCTTCCCCTTCATTGGCATTAATCTGGGCACCAGCTCTCTCCATAGCAGTGACTTCCCTCACCACTCTCATCTCTCAGCCTTGCCTTTTCTTCCTGACACTGTCGCCCCCTCCTCTCAGGAGACACTGCCCAGGGCCTCCAGGGCCACCTGGCAGAAGGCTGGGTTAGGCAGCAGGGCCGGGAGCATCTGCCCTCCACAGGGTGGGGGACAGATAGGCAAAGCGACTCCCAGCTTGCTGCCCTCAGTGGCCAGTGTGGGCATGGGCGGTTTTGGGCGCTTGGCTGGTGGTGGCCACTGCATCCCTTAATTTATTTCTCTGCTGTTTCTGTTCTTGAGAAATTGAGGGAGGGAGTCCTACACAGAGGCTGCCCCTACCCTCACCTGAGTTGTACATTTTTTTGTGATGGGTTTTATTTTTTATTTTATTATTTTATTTTTTTTTTTGATTTATGATGACTCCACCCCTCTTCATCACCCCCGCTCCCAGGCCAGGCTCAGCGATTAAGTCGAGCCCTTGCGTCCTAGGAAGGGGCCTCGCCAACCTCAGCCCTCCTGCCCCACACTCCTACTGCGGCTCAGACCAAGGGCTCCCCCTCCCTCCCTTCCCCCCTCCTGCCCTATGGAACAGCCCGGGTGCTCTGAGGGGGCCGGGAGGGCATGGCTTGGCTCCCAAAGGGGGTAGGGGCCCGGGGCACCCAGGCAAGGTGGCCCCTCCCCGGCTAGCCCCCTCCTTCCCAACCCTGCACTTAGTTTCTCCTCTGGATCAAACACATAATAAAGAGAATGTTTGGAATCTGAGCTGCCTCCTCCTGTTTCTTCTCCCAGCCAGGCAGGGACCCAGTCCCCTGTGGGCAAGATGTGGCCCAGCACGCCTGCCTTGCAGGAGAGGCTTGATTCCTGTCTGGGGCCATTGCTGGGTGGGCCCAGCTCCCCACCCACCCACAGGGCACAGACAGGAAGCAAAGCCCAGGGCTCTTGCACCAAAAGGGAAAGAAAACTCAGTAAGCTTAGGTTTTATTTTTTTTTAATTTTTAAAAAATGTTGAAAAATAAATCCATGTCTGCATAAATTCCCAACCCCCATTTCTCCAAGTTTCTGGAAGGTGGGTTTGGTGGGCACCCTCAGCTCCACAGCATTGTCCCAGCTGGCCCCTGAAGACAGAGCTGCTCTTCCAGCCTCTGCTGCTGTAAGGCCCCTCTGCCCACCTCCCCCTCTGCAGCCTCCCTCCCCACCTCACCCCAGACTTATTGCTAAAATAAGGGAAAGAGGAATGAGAACAGCCAGCACACCCAACTGCCCTCTCCCCACCCCATGCTAAGGTCACTACCCCCGACACACAAAGGGCAGAGCCCAGAGGCCAAGCCCCAGCAGACTAGGAGGCAGCCATTCCAGTCCCAGCCAGGAAGCGAAAGTGCCCTCAGGCCAGCTCAAAGGCCCCTGAGCCTGGCCATGGCCACAGGAGACAGGCCCAGCTGCCAGGAACACATGCAGAACCCACAGGGCGGGGCTGGGCTGTGCGCAGCTCTGGTCTTCCAAAGACCCCGCCAGATCCCTAGTCCCTTCTGTCCTCGGTGACACCAGAGATGCCTGGGGATGGCCAGCAAAGGGATCCTGGAGCCTGTGGTTGGTGGAGGACCACAGGGCTCAGAGTGAGGGTGCTGGGGGCTCCAGAGGGGCTCCAATCAGGGTGGGTGGGGGCTGAGGGCCAGGACGGGCACTGTGGCGGGAGGCAGCCAGAGCGGGGCGGATGAGAGGTGGTGGGGGCTGGTTGGGGGCCAGCCGGGGCTGGAGGAAGCGGCCCTGCTGCAGTGGGGGTGGCTGTCGGAGCAGAGTGGGAGCCGTGGGCAAAGGTGGCCTCAGCAGTGGGGGCGGCTGGGACAGCGAGGTGGGAGGTGGTGGGGGTGGTGGTGCAGGGGGCACTGATCGGGGCACAGACGTGGAGACCGCTGTAATCTGGACCTGAGGGGAGAGAAAAGAGTGAGAAGCCAGGCTCTTCCTGCCCTCAGCCCAGTCTACGGACCGAGGCAGCGCCTTGCCTCGCCTCGCCTCACCTCTTCTCTCTGAGGGGTTTCTCTCACCCCCTTCTCACCTCATCATCTTCCTCTAGGGCTGGGGCTGGCAATGGAGCCCCTCTCCTAGCCTCCTCCATGGGGACCGGGGCTCCAGGGGCCCCATCCTGCTCAGCCTCCCATTCCTGCAGCACCTCCTCCAGATTGAAGCGGCGCCGGTAGCTCACAAAGAAAGTCTTCACCTGGGTCAGAGTCTTGTTCCCAATCACCTCTGCAATAGCCCCAAAGTCTTTGCCATACCTACGGATGGCTGCAAGGGTCAAAAGGGCAGCAGCGTCAATACCCCTTAGAACTAGTTACTTCCCTGACCCTTCCCCTCTGCCCCCCCCACTCCTTGGAGGGTGGGGAGATAGATTCCTGGGGTTCTCTTCTCACCACAGTTTAACCCACCTTGGACAGCCAAAAGCTGCTCATCTGTGGTCCAGCGGGAGTTGAACTTGGTGTTGGCCTGGAAAGCAAGGAACACACATATCCTTTAGACTTAAAACCATGCAAATGGCAGCCCTGCTCCCCAAGTAGTACTCTTTCTGCTCTACCTCCAGAGAGAGATCCCCTTTTGCACCCTAACTTAAAGAGCGGCCATACCTCCGGGGGGCGGAGTGGATCAATGCCGCCCTCCAGGGCTTGGCGTAGGCTGCTGTTTGTCTGCTTCATGCTCTGTACCTGGGAAGGCCAGGAAGTGGAGGAACATCAGACTCCCATCTCAGGCACGCCACCATGCCCCTCACAGGACCCTACTTCTGCATAGACACCAGCACCACTGCCCCGGCAAAGCTCTCTACCGTCCACCATCTGGCTTGTTCCCCCTGCACTACTCAGTAGGGGAGCCGCTGGGGTTCTCCCCTTTCTGCAGACCAGTTTTTATGTTTACTATATATATATACACACACACACACACACACACGCACATATATATATATATTTTTTGAGATGGAGTTTCACTCTTGTTACCCAGGTTGGAGTGCAATGGCACAATCTCAGCTCACCAAAACATCCGCCTCCGAGGTTCAAGCGATTCTCCTGCCTCAGCCTCCCGAGTAGCTGTGATTACAAGCGCCTGCCACTCCGCCTGGCTAATTTTGTATTGTTTTTAGTAGAGACGGGGTTTCTCCATGTTGGTCAGGCTGGTCTCGAACTCCCATCCTCAGATGATCCACCCACCTCAGCCTCCCAAAGTGCTGGGATTATAGGCATGAGCC